CACGTTTTCCTGCTGTGCCGGGGCCCGGCCCGGCCCTGCGCGCCCATCCCGGCGCTCACCCCAGTGGGAAGTCACGGTGGTGCTTCCCTTCCCGTTTCCAGAGAGGAGAGCTTACTCAGTCTCCCACTTGGCCTTTCTCTTTTGGGTGACGCCTGCGTTTCCACTGAAATGCACACTCACACCCTGATTTCAGACGTTTTAGTAGTCACTAAAAATTATACTTAAGTCTGAGGAGTGTAGGTAGCATCGCATGGCATAAGCTGTCTGGTCATTTCCTCTATTAAAGTCACTCAAAAGTCACTGCAGGACTCGTCTTTAGAGTGATATAAATGCTCAGATACTTAGTCCACGCTCTCCAGTCCAGACTGGTAATTCTCATCCAAATTGTCCATCATAGAATCATGGAGTTTTAGGGGTTGGAATGGACCTTATAAATCATCTAATCCCACTCCCCCTGCCATGGGCAGGGACACCTTCTGCTAGACCAGGCTGCTCAAGGTCTCATCCAGCCTGTCCTGGAACACTGCCAGGGTTGGGGCAAGCCATGTTTTGGAGGCACAGCTGGCAGTGAAGTTAAACTGGTTCTGAATTGTTTTGCACCTCTGGAGGAGAGTAGGAGCTTAAGAAAACATTTTCAGTGGAAATAACCCATACTGTCCATGTGGCTGGATGAGTACTCCGTGAGTACAACTAGTAGGACAAGGTATTGGTCACTGGCTCTTGTTGTTTCTGGTTAGGTTTTATTCTCAGTCTTAGTCTTGTTTGTGACACAAGAGTTGCTGAAGAACATGTATTTTTGGAAAAAAAACCCCATCCCAACACCAAAACAACTTGGAGCTGATGCTGCACCATAATGAATCCAGCAGCATTTTGTGGATCTCTCTGTTGATCAGCAAAGTGCAGCACCGTGTAGCTAGGCCTTTCACAGTCACAATACTGGTTTGGTGGTAGGGGCAAAAGTGAAGCTACATGTCTATAATCTGTCGCCTTTGTATAGTTTTCAGCCTGCATCTGCGCATTATCTGCCTGTCAGGACAGAATTACAGTCTCCATGACATCAGCCTCGATGGCAGTAGTTGACCTACTTAAAACAGATTTCATTTGCTGCTGCTCAGTGTTGGTCAGGTAGGATAAAACTTTAGTGACAGCGACAAGTTTTTTTGTTTTCTAACTGTTTAAAATCATTGTAGTGTTCAGGAGTGACCAAGAGACAGAGATTAAAATGCTATTTAGAGCTTTACTGGTGAGGGTTTTTGATAAGTACCTGTTTCCATTTTAAGGTCCTGGCCTCTCTGTGATATTAGCTGTACATCCCACTGAGCTTACACGGGACCAAAAATTAGTGCTTCCAAGGAGCAGTGTGTTCAGATAGACAGTTGCTCATGCATAGGGTTAAACTGTCATCCACAGCCTCAGAAGCCAAATAACTTTGCTGAATTTACAGGAAATTCCTTTTGCATTGTGGCCCCTCAGAGGCTCTTGCTGGCTTTTCAGAACAGCAGCAAAGTATCTGGGTGCCTGGAAGGATAATCAGGTGTGTTTGAGAAGCACTTCTAGCACTAGAATATTATTAATGTTTTTATATTTTTGTGTGTTTGGTACACAACTAATATACCATTATAGAAATACTTGCAGTTTCACAACAGACTCTATAGGTGTTTGAAAGCATGGACTTAATTGCTATAAACACAAGTGTGAAACTTGCTCTGTTGGGAAAAGTGGAGAAAAAGTAGAGAAGTAAAATAGTGAAGACAAAGGCAGTAGAAGTAGGGTATGACGGGACTTCATTAATGCTGTTTCTCCTCTCAGCTTCTTCTTCTGTCTTTTATAGTTTGACAGGAGCTTAGCACATTTCATCAGTATAAATATACAAGTACTTCATGAGCTCATAAAGCAAAAAAGAAAATGTGCTCTCTTGGTTAAGAAGTCCCTGCCCACGAATACTTTTGTAATGATTCCAGCACTCTTGACAATTTTGGGATGACACAATGTGATAATGCCCTAGAAAATGGTGCAAATAGAGTTTTTCTTTCAGGGAACTAATTGAAATTTTGGCAATTTCAAGAAACCAAAAGCTTCCACAACCTGGAGAGGAGAGCCAGGTAAGCTGACTTTCTAAACTGTATGTCTTTGGGTAAGCATAATTAATGCTTTTCTTCTAGTTTTTTCATTGTTTCATTCAGTCTTTTGTTCATTCTTTCTTTCTCCCTTTGCACTTGCCTACACTCAGGCTAATGGTGATGATGAGGTTTGAGCCCTGCTACAAAGGCATTCTTGGTTCTCGCATTGTTTGTTTGTTTGTTCATTTGTTGTGTGCTTCATAGGCTGTTTCTGCAAATAGGAAGAAATTTGGTTTCATTTTTCATTGAAACAAAAATACTCCTCCTATGGATGTGATTTGCTCTTTTTTGTAGCACGACTGTACAACATGAGGGTGTATTGTTACTCTAGCCAAATTAAAAGTTGTATAAAACTCTTGTTCAATAGATCCTGGAACTGCTGATTCAGAGGGATGGAGAGTTTCAAGAGCTAATGAAGTTGGCAGTTGATCAGGGAAAAATCCATCATGAAATGCAGCTTTTAGAAAAGGTAGTAGAAAAGCGGGATAATGATATTCAACAGCTGCAGAAACAACTGAAAGAAGCAGAGCACATACTGGTAAGTTCATAATCATGTGTTTGCTTTTGAGCATCTACTTGTGGAAAAGGTGGTTCTGGGGAAAGTGGTGTGTGTTAGTTTGAGAAGATTTAAATATTTAAAGCTTCGTAAGAGCTTAGTACTTTGGGGTTTTTTTTCCAGTCATCACATACTGTTTAGTTATCATGGTATTCAGTTTTGTTTTATCATGCTAATTTTCTTCTAAACCTGCTTTTCTCCCCTGTATATTCTGAAAATGTTCACTGAATAGTTTCTCTCTTAAAATGCAATTAAACTAAAGGGTTTATTCACAGAGATGACTTTATGTACATGTGTACAAATTAATGATGCATTGAAAGTTTGGTTTACTTTGTTGGGTTTTCTTTTTAACAACTAGGCAACAGCTGTTTATCAAGCAAAGGAAAAGCTGAAATCAATTGAAAAGGCAAGAAAAGGTGAGTATCTGTGATTGTACATGCTACATAAATGCTGTTGTAAAGGAAGTTACTACTGAGCTCAAATTAGGGCCTTTTTTTTTTTTTTTTATCCTGCCATCACAGATTTCAGATTCTTTATGTGTAAACAGATTTCCATTTCATTATGTACCTATAACCATTTTTTCAGAATGAAGGCAGGAATTAATTATTTTTTGTGGCAAACATATCTTAATAGTAAAGCGTCTCAACAGTCGTCTGGGACTGATAATAGTATATCTGATTACCTGAGTGTCTCACCAAATTGCCTCAGTAGGTCTGCAGAGGAAAGGAGAGAATGTTTGTGTGTAGGTGCATTGTATTTGAAAGACTGACTAGTTGGTGATACTAGTTTGCATTTGTAGCAGTTCCTGCCAATGTGTGGCACTTACCAAGCTAAACTGCCTTTATTTTTATTTGGTAGGCATTTTATTTGTGGTTTTGGTTTAGTTTGGTTTTTTTCACAATGTCTTTTATTGTTCGGTTATATCTCTTTCATCAAAAAAAAAAGAAGGAATTTCATGAAGTTTCTCTAATACAGGCACACATCTAGGAGAACTTCTACATGTATGCTCTACAATTACTAGCCAAGCAAAAAGTATGCCTTACTGCAGAAAATTCCCTAATAAAGCAGGTGCTGGAGTTTTATGAATTGTGCTTGTCAAGTTACACTGCTTTAAGAGATTGGCTTGTGCATTTCACCAGGTTGAAGAACTGTTGACATCAAAGGTGTCCTGAACTTGTGGCCGTAAACTGCAACACTCATCTTTGCATAGTCTGAGAATCTTCTAAACAATCATTGTGTTTGAACCAGGCTCTTGATGTCTGACAGAATTACATTCCCAGTCTTTTAGATTTTAGTGTCCAATATTCTGAAATAATTACATGGTGCAATCTCTTGAGAATGCAGCAACTTTTTTTTCCATTCTTCCAGGTGCCATTTCCTCTGAGGAAATAATTAAATATGCCCACAGGATCAGTGCTAGCAATGCTGTTTGTGCCCCTCTGACATGGGTACCAGGTAACCACCATGTTTATGGCAATAGATTTCTTTTTTATAGTAAATCATGGTTAATATCTGGTCTTAGAATGTTTTGATACAGTGAAAACCACTGGAGTTTATTAGAGTAACATTGTTTTCAGCTGTTAATCATTGTGGGGTTTTTTTTTTTTGTTTGTTTGAGTTGTTTTGGGTTGTTCGCGATGTTTTCATGTGTGTGTATTTTTTCAATGTGCTTTTTCTGCCAAGTGTGACCGAAAAAAGTCCAACTGAAAGACAGACTTGGATTTTAACAAAACAGGTGTGATGCTCAATGCTGATCCAAGTAATTAGAGCCTGTTTTGGTTTTTTTTGTCATTAAACTAGACACTGAAGAAAAAGTTAATGTCTGTAAGACAATTGTTAAATAGTTAAAAACATTCTTTTTTATCTTTCTTGAAGGGGACCCACGTAGGCCATATCCTACAGATCTGGAGATGAGGAGTGGTCTCTTGGGTCAGATGAACAACCCATCCACCAACGGAGTTAATGGGCACTTACCAGGGGATGCACTTGCAGCAGGGAGACTGCCAGGTAAGGGAAACTCCGTTTCGTTTTGCTTTTCTTTATTCCTTGTCAGCCATAGCAATTGTACATTTCTGTTAGCAAAGGCTAATCAGAGGTGAAATTATGAAAATAATGGTTCACGTTGTTCCCTAGCAGTGAAGACCTAGTAAAAAAAGTTAACAATTAGAAATTTCAGAATTTTATTTTATTTCTTGCTAAACCATCCTGCAGACACTACAACCAAGTCGGTATAAACCGAAGTCAGTTACTTTATTTTAAATGGCTTTAAACTAAGTTATATCAAATCATATTAGCAAAAGCATTTTCAGAGCAACCTTTTCTTAGTAGTGTTGGCAAAGTATGGAATTGTGAAAGCTGTATTTGGAAGAAAAGAGATTTTATTGTCCTCCCCCACCTTTCTTTAATCTATGCTCTATATAGCGAGGCTGTTTGTTTCAAAGTTCTGGATTGAAAAGACATGGCAAGGGACAACTGGTGAGATAACACATGCAGTGTAGGAGTTGAGCTCTAATCCCTTAATTGCTTAGTGAAATGGGCACTTCCATTGACTTCAGTTGACATTCACTCATTCATGCCAACGTAGAATTTAGCAGTAATTGAATCAAGAGTTCAGTGGTTCTGTACCTGTGCAGTATTAGTCTACCATGGTTAGACTAAATTGTGGAAAAGTTCTTAGTTTGGATTCACAGGAGATGTGTAACAGTTTTTACTTGTCTGTTAAGCTGCTTGCAGGCATTATGGAAAGCTTGTTTTCAAAAATTAGGTTGAATTTGTTAAAAAAAACATTATTGCAACTCCGTTGGAGAAATAGTCAGCTTGGATTTTGTGTTTCCAATCATCTGTCTAAGCCCATTGTCACCTTTTAGGAAGTGACTTGAAATTCTGCATCATCTTGCTTTGTTAACCTCTGGCCTTGGATAAAATGAGTCAGTGAGCTGAGCAGGAGTAGGACCCTGACATCTGTCCATAGCAACCCACCAGGGAAATGCTGAGGATAGGCCCCTGCATCTTTTCTGTACTATTGAAACATGGTCAGAGGAGACGTTAAGGTTGTGACTTCTTCGTGGAGTTTGAGGATATATTTGCCTAAGTTTTTGTAGAGCCCATTCTGTCTGGCTCCTGTGCCTTAGCGGATGTAGACTTGCTCCATTTATCTTTGTGTGCTGTCTCTCTAAGAACTGAAAGGAATTTTCAGGAATTTTCCTTGAGAAGCTGGAAAATGTGGGATTTAAACTCCTCAAGTAAAGTTCTTAATTGAATCTGAGGATCCTCTGTAGAGTGAAATCCTCTAATAATGAGACTGTCAGGTAGGAGGGAAACATTCATTTAAAAGAAACTTGAGGCTGCTCTGACATTTTGAATAGGGATCCTGAATCTGTAAATGTGTGAAACTATGTCCTGAGAATGCTCATTATGGAATCTAGTCTTTTTGGAGATTTCTGTAGAGAGATGTCCAGTCACTGAGTCCATAGTGAATGTATGAGCCAGCCCCTGGGCCACTTGGCAGCCTCAAAACTTTGAAGCTGCTTAGCACCCATGTTCAGCCTGGTGTAATAAATGGAGTGGTTCCAGCATTAAACCATGGCCATGGGATGTAAAACAGTGGCTTACATTCTCAGCTGGTTCAAATAAAGTTGGTTAACTTCACCACAGCTGGGCTGAGACCACCTGGTACTACTGTTGATGTTCCTCAAGTGGGCACAGAACTGGCATAAAAGGCTGCATTAAGGCCTCATATCAACCCAGAGTTGTATAGCTGGGTAATGCAGGGGACTCTGGCTGCACACCATATGTGGAATCTCAGGTGACTGCAGACTAAAAGATCAGAAGCTGCTATGCATGTGGAATCCATGTGCTTCTGACTTAGCACCAGACTGAAAGTAAGCCTACCATGAATGACCCCCTACTTAGTGCCCTCTTTTTCTGCACTCAGAGTCCCATGTCTGTGGGTTTTTGTTCAGTTCTGACTGCTTAATTATTTTTAATTCTTGCTGTAAGCAGGAGATAGCTGGTTTCTTCTATGGGATAGACTTAGCTCCAAGTACCATTTTGGAGGCAAGGAAGGGATAGACTGGGAAGTGTTCAGGGGAGATAGGTTGCTAGGGAGTAATGTAAGGGATAGCTTTGGAAGTAGAAGAAGAGAAGAAACAATGAGAGCTGAGAGATGTCAGAGGCCACTGAAGCTGGCCTGGCTAGGGCACAGTGGAGCATTCCCACCTCTCAAGTACCTCTGTCTCTGGCCCTGGTTTTGTCATAGGACACTCTTCTTTGCACTTGCTGCATTGTATTTGCTGTTGAAACAACCATGTCCAAAGCATTTCAGCCAATTTTGGATAAAACCTTTTACTTCGCATTTTTATGGTGTACCTTAAATATTTCTTTTATTTAATACTTTTTTTGCATACTGACAGAGACCGATAATTTTCATTACTTCCAGTGGTTGTGGATGTTAAGTCAGTTCAAACTGTGCTTTGAAAAGCACTGTATGAATACATACTGTTCTGAAGGCGAGTGATGAGAGATCAAGAGCCACCTGCACAAATGGGTCTCTCTGGCAGGGTAGGCTTTCACAGTCACAGAACTGCTCCATCATGAGATGCTTTCCAAGTGTTACTGAAGGGTTTCACCTGTCCAAAACGCAGAAAGGATTTTAAGATTTTGTTTTGATTTTAAATGGAAGTTCTGTTTGAGCTGTCATGTTTAATTTGTCGTTATACAAAACTGATGCTTTGATTGCTTATGTCCCTTGTTTTCCAGATGTGCTTGCTCCTCAGTACCCCTGGCAGTCAAGTGATATGTCAATGAACATGCTACCTCCTAATCATAGTAATGACTTCATGTTGGAGCCTCCAGGACACAATAAAGAGAACGAAGATGATGTAGAAGTTATGTCAACAGACTCCTCAAGCAGCAGCAGTGACTCAGACTAGGTACAAGAGGGACAGTATCCCTAGTAGACCTTTCCTGTGGTGAAGGTAGGTTGGATGCTGTTCATCACAAACTGCAATGTCCTTTTGCTACAGTGACAACCCTGTGCAGGGAGAAGATAACAGCTAGCTCAGAAATAGGGTGACTAATTTAAACCCATGGACTTGTAGATTATTTTTTTTCTATTAGATGTTCAAGGAAAATGACTGGGAGCTTTCTGCTGGGGGAGAGATGTCAGATTTTCAGTGACTGTGTGAATGTATATGTTTGCAGGAGACACATGTGTGTATATATATATATGTATTTACTATACATTAGATGACAAAAGTTCCTGGGAAAAAAGGTGTAAGGGGAATCCCCTTGTATGTTTGTTAGTAACTTTACTCTTTTGATGATAGCCTTTTCTATGCCACAGAAATGAGACATGAAATTTGTAATTTTAGTTTCTGGTTTTTGTTACTGCCTAAATCTATGTTCTTAAATCCATGTTCTTGATCATCTGTGTATCAAGAACAAAAGTTAGGCAATAAGTTGTAAAAAATTTTGTAATTATTGTAATATATAATAAATGATTTGTCATAAATAAACTCAGCTTTGATCTAACTTTAAATTTAGTTTTCCAAACTTAAATCTTAGATGAGTTACTATGTAACTTCAATACTCAGCACATTTTTTCCTAGTATGTGGGTGAATTCTGATTGAGTTTCAGAAGTTCATATTCCTTTTCCTCCTTTGCAAAATGCCCAGTGAGTATTGGAAGGGTCTGAGGAGTCGGAAATGGATCCTTTTCAGCTGAGCCCTATCAGGGCTCCTAACTGGGCAGACCCTGGGGCAGTGGAGTGCCCATTCACAAGGCTGCACCAATACTGGTTAGGCATCCTGGGGCTCTGGAGATGACACACTTTAGGGCGTGCTGCAGGTTCAGCTCCTTTCAGTTCAAAGTGCTCACAGATTGTTCATTCTTGTCATCTATAATTCTTTCAGTTCTTTGAACCTGCTAATTTGTTTACTTCAGCAGTTGCATTTCCTGTCTCAGCTACAATATTATTTCATCTTTCCAGAGGCACTTCCCTTGGCTTTCCTTTCCTGGTTCTGTTTTGCCTAAGGAGTCATTTTATGACAGCTGCTTTTCTCTTAAGTAACCTGATCAAATCAGAAAACAAATGTGAACTGTTGCTTATGGCAGTTACAGGTTTCTTTCCTGCAGCACAGATCACCATTCTCTTTTTCATTTTGCAGATTCCTCACAGGAAGTATCTGATGAATCAGGTACTTCCTCCTTTGCTCAGACAATCTTTCAAATACTGCTCTCAGTAATGCTGCTGCCTATGACCCATGTATGTACAAATCCCATAAGGATGTAGAAAGGAAAAGAACTTCAGTCAGGTTCAGTCACATAGCATGGGGCAGTGGTTTTTGTTTTTAGAAACACGGAATTTGTTTGTGTCTTAGCTGTTCCTTTTTGTCAGTATTTTCAGATCTTTCACAGTCTAAAGTTATATATTTTAACCTTAATTATCATCTTTTCTTTGGTATAACTCCTAATGTCTTTCTTCTTTAATTCATGTTAATCCCAATACACATGCCCTGGCTCAGTCATCCTAGTTAACCTTGCCTGCTCCTTTTCTAATTGATGTTTTTTTCTTAAACATGTGTGATCAGAATCATACACAATATTGCAAAATGGAGTTTAATGCTTTATATCATGGGATTAGCATTTTCTTCCCTAAATGCCCCTCTCTCATCACAGACACAGGTCACAAGTCTCTTATCTTCTAACTTCTAAGAACACTCTTTTCTTGTAATGAAATACAAATAGAGATAATTAATAGTCATGGAAATTGTAATGTTACAGTCTACCTGTTACTCTTACATGGCTTTATTGTGTAATTCACTAATTGTTTCCAGACATAAGTAAGAGTAAACAGAAGCAATAACCACTTCTTCCTCTGGGTTGTTTGTTACTGTTAAAGGATTAAATTGGACCAATGTGTTACATCCAAGAAAAAGGGAAGACAACAGCTCTGCCCACTGTTCTCTTAGCATAAAATCAGACTCTGGGTATAAGATGCCAACTAATCAGTTTCTCTGCATCAGTGCTCCAAACTCTGTGTGGTTTGGGAGTATGTTTCTCAGTGCTGGATAACTCTAATGCCATTCTGGGTGAATTCTGTCTGATACAAGCAATTTAGGAAACCATGAAGTTGTAACTGACTGTTCTGGTATTCAGTGGCTTAGATGTGTACATAATAGATTTTTCTATTTAACATAAATACCAGAAATCAAAATGAAGATTTAGTTGAAAGGACCAAGTCATAGCAGATAAAATCTACTGATAAGAGGGGTGAGAATTACAAAATGCATAAACCCCCAAGTTATTTAAGTTGGGGATTGCTGATAGTGCATTGCAGTAATGCACTGTAGTCAGTTACCAGTCCACTTAGAAAGGATACAGAAATGTTGACATATGGAGATACTGTTGTGTGTCCTCATTTCAGTAACTACTTACATATTTACAAAAGAATTAATATAACCATTAACAAAATACGGTAAGAAGGTATTTATTGCATGACAGACCATTTTACAGTGATCCCTGTTTTCCCATCAGGAGCTAGATGTCTTTTAAGACTTAAAATTTTACTAAATCATTTTAATATTTTTCTTCATTATTCCTTGTGACAGATGGGCAGGACATCTGTCAGCTCTTCCTACAGCTTCTGTGTTGCCAGCTGAGTGGAATAATTTTCAGTGTACTTAAGGTTGCTTTCAGGAAGCAAATCTCCACTTTTGAATTTGTAGAAAACTTATTTTTTCCAGATCCAGTAGTCAAGGAATTTTCAGTGATATTTCCCATTTCAAAACTGCTGCATAACATTACCTTCTTTTTTCACTTCAGAAAGAGTAATGTGTCCTAAGGGAAGGTGCACACACTTAATAATTCAAACTCCAGGCATGAGGCTTGCCATCCTTACACCTCCTATCCCTCTGCCTCTCAGGAAAAAGAACCATCTCCATTTAAGAAAATGTATGTGCAAAGTGAGGAAGAGCTTTAAACCCTTCAAGCTTATTTCTTTTAAGAACTGACAAGTCAGTTCACAACTTCATACAATTTTAATCCTTCAATATTGTGCTTATGTTTTATTCAAAAGAAATTAAAGATATCTCACATTTTGGTACAATGAGTATATCTAAAGGAAACTGACAAAAACTCTGCTTTAAAAGAACCCCGATGAGAAAAAATGAAGTCCATTAGGGGTTTCTGTAAGTCATATCCTTAAGTTAATTGCTGATGTCCTAGTGACTACAACTGGAAAAGAATCAAATTTGCTCACAGATTTCCAGAAAAATTAAAAAAGTAAATTGATTTTCTATGTATCTTTGTGTACTGTGGTTTCATTCACTACACATTCAGTCATTTTTAAATCACATCAAACTGAAATTTTGCAATTTTATCAAATCCAGTAGCCATACAGAATGACACCTGTCTGTGCTATTTAGCCAAAAAGTCTGACTTTTGCCATAGAGCTGCACCTATAAATGAGATTAGTTTGTACACTCTTAGTTGTGTCAGCCTAGCAGAACGCTGTAGGCACCTCTCCGTGATCTCCATGATCAGGGATTCAGATCAGCTGCAGAGATCTGAAACATTTGTTCAGATAAAATCAATGTAACAGGCTGCAAACAGAACTCTCTTAAGAGAGTGAGTGGCAAGAAGGGTCAGGGAATTTTCATTCCCTGCAATAAGCCACCACCACATATTCATGTTTACAATACTCTGATTTTCAAGTATATACTACTGTCCACAGGAGAATGAGGCAGAACTTTTGATCATGACAGTAACTTCATAACTGAAGCCAAGAGACAAGGCTAAATTGGTCCAAGGAGAGCAGCACGGTACACAGAATAGGTTTACACAGAAGGCAGGACAGGAGTTTAAACAAGTAAGTTCTGCTTGGACCTGATGCTGCAACTGTTTCCAAGTGAGTAAGCTTCTCTGACCAGTTTTGATTTCCAAATGGCTATTCATCTATATCAACAGGTAAAACACTGTGAGTTTCCTATAAAGTAAACATTAACTGTTAACCACTGAAAATAGCGTTGTAATGGGAGACAATTGTCGTGTGAAATACAGTAAAAGCACTGAAACATTTGGCATCTTTCTGTCTTTGGGAAGTGTAATGTTTTCACATGGTCAGGGTAAGCATGATAAATCCTTTTTTATTTTACGCCAAAGAAAGCAGGTCTGTCCTTTGTTACGTAACATACAGTTTGGTTTTACACTAGTTGGTGACTCCCCGTGTACCCCTTTAGATGATCGAGTTCTTCTGTAAAGGGATTGTAACCTTGCTCTCTTAAACAGCGTAAGGCCCAGAACAGTTGATCTGCTGGAGGAAATTCATCCCATTTAACCCATTCCCAGCCTGTAAGGGGGGGGAAAAAAAAGAGGAAAAAATCAGAGTCTAGAATTAATCATATAACAGTTCTTCCACTGAAAGTCTGGATGGATCATGCAGAAATTACCAACACAAAGCCAAGGTCTCTGTTGTGTACACAGTCGTTTTGCCTGAGCAGCTTCTCTGTTGCCAAGTGTTAAGGAACACATTTAGTGCAGGTAGGTCGGTGTGCAGCTGCAGTGAGAGCTGCAGGTTGAACTCTGGGTGGCTGGAGCTCCAGGAGAGAGGCTGTGAACTGCTCACCCTTTGCATAACACAGGGCACAGGGACCTGGGGCTCAGCCAGGTGACCAGAGACTGGGAGACACAGCAGGAGCTGACAACCCCCAGACCTTCCTTCAGACTATGAGAGTATAAAAGCCCAGGGGTTCCTTTGTTTGGGGTCCCACATTGGAGAAACCCAGCTGGAGCTGTTATTTTGATACTTAGTTATTGTACCATAATTAAATTATTTTATGGATGTGGCTGTCTGAGACTCTGCTATGGGAAACCTAGGGTTGAGCTGGTAAGGAAACCTGGTCTGACTGTGTGGTGCAAGAGTGACCGCCAGAGTGACTCCCGCGCGCTCGACAGGTAAAGTTTCCGAAACACCCAGAGAACCTGTGTGTGCCCCATCCCTGGCAGTGTTCAAGCCCAGTTTAGATGTGGCTCTAAGCCACCTGGTCCGGTGGGAGGTGTCCCAGCCCACGGCAGG